TTCCAACCCCAAAAATTAGGGTCCATTCATGAAATTCATGTCAGTTTTCATCTTCAGATCATTTTTTTCCTTGCCTTCAGGCACCCATCCCCGCTCGCTGCCTAGGGAAACGAGCCCATCTTTCACTAAACGCCTCAGCTGCAAACCATCGAACTCAGCACCAGGTGGCAGCGGAAAATCTCCGGCCATCAAACATGGCTTGAAAAAATATCCCATGTATAGACGCTGTTCAAAGATGTTCAAATGAAAACCTCCATGTGTGTCACATATTGGCACATGATATCACATTATCCATTGCATTCCATTGCCAAACAGATTCAACTGTAAGTTTTGAAATTCACCATAATTCAACTTACCCTCTGGTTTTTTTCCGCGTGGCTATGGTATCAACCCATTTAGTTCGATGATTTACCTGTGCAAAGCCAACTTACCAGAAGGATCCAGAGGGTAGCCCCAAAAAGACGAACCTGGGCACCCCAGCTCGAAGAGGGAGACGCCCAGCCCGGTGTCTCGGGCTTGTGAATTCAAAACTGTGGCCGGGAGTTGTTTCTCGTCTCCCACCTCGTTGAATGGGCTGAATGAGTGGCCGAGTATTCTATAACACCCTCGCAGGTGCTAGGTCCAGAAAATGCGTTGCAGAAATCGTGCGAATCCCTAAAACCCAGTGGTTGGTCATCGTCCTACACACATCGCCATGGATTGGGGTCAGTGTCTGCTGGCCAATTCCCAAATCTTCATGGTGAAAAGTCCGATCACATCCCATAATTGTTGGTCATATATCCCCATGACATCCCCACATTCCCCACAATCTCCCAATTATATCCCATTAAACCTTCATTACCCCATGAAATTTCAATTTTCCATAATTCTAAGCCCAAAGCGATGTCCCTATAAACCTATTTATATATGATAAACATAAGAATAAACTTCTTCAATAAATCTCAACATGTTTAATTTCCCAACGGTTTCAAAATCATCTCATCAAAACCGTGATTTCCCAAAGATCTCCCGAACCTCATTTGGAGGTTTCCGTTTTGTCATGGGGTACCCCCAGTTATCATCCATGTTTGCTTGGGATTTTCCAGGAAAACCATCGAGCTATGTCAAAAAAATTGCGGAGAGCCCCATTTTAGTATTACCCTCTGGTTATTTAACATTGCCATGGAGAATGGCCCATAGAAATAGATGGTTTACCTATTAAAAATGGGGATTTTCCATGGCTATGTTAGTCATAACCAGATGGTAAAACCTATGGTTTTGGGGATCTCCGGGATCTCCGGGAACCCCCTGAAACACCGCTCTGAGCCCCGAGCCAACACCAAGCGCTGACAGCCCCAGGTCAAGGGCACCCAGGGGCCTGGCTCCACCACTTGCGCTGCCTGGTTCGGAAGAAATTCAACGGCTAACCATGAATAACCTACTACTAATAATAAATAAATACATAAATAAATAAGTATATATAGTATACAGTATATGGTAGTAGATAACATCTATATAATTTCTATAATATAAGTGTATTAGTAATCATATATATATATATTATATCATTATATCTGTATAATTATGTGTTTGGAATAGCCCAGGAACCAATGACTTGCCATCACCTTCTTAACCACCAAGAGGGATGATCCTCCAAGTACTGAGATCATGTCGATCATTCTATCCCTTTCTCTTTATTTTTTTTTCAATATATTGAAAATATAAGGGATTTGTCCATTCCTTTCCAACTTCTGAGTGTGTGTGTGTGTGCGTGTGGACTCTGGTTTGCAAATCATCCGGTCTACTGGTCTGCTTTTTTGAGTGCCTCGTCGATCACAAGCATTGGCAAAGATGATGACATACCACTCAACCTCTGGCGTCTGGTGGTGGAATGGACCCCGCTATCGAGAGGATCCTGGTTGGATGACCCAAGATAACTTCTGCAGCAAATTGCAGCAAGGTTCCAAGGGTAAACTGACAGCCATGGGGCCATTCTCTTTTGATGTTCCAAACCAGACGTGCCTCCCTTTGGCCAGGGTGATCATGATATCATGCTCGATTTTGCAGTGTAACTCCTCTCTTAACGCAAGTAGATCTGCCGGAACAGTATCGGAACCCAACAACAAAACAACTGTTTCCACTTTTTTGCTACAATTTCAATCATGACAGCCCGGGCAAATATGGCAAAAAAACTATTCTCATAACAGTGTGTGAATCACATTCCGGTCTAAAACTGAAACCCTAACTGTAGCATTCCTGCTATGCAATTTTCTTTCATACACCTGTTCTAGAAATTATATACTTAGAAGATGGGATAGTACTACCGGTATTGTGTTTTTCACACACTGACAGTGCATTGATTTTTTGTGCATCTGTCTGTTGCTGTTTCGCTTTTGCGAAAGCAACTACTTCAGCACCAAGCTGCAACCAAGTCCATGAGTCCATGATAGCAAAATCCAGCTGGGGATGCAGGTGGCCCAGTAGCCGAGGTTCAACTCTTTTGGAATATCTTTGGAGAATGGACGTGGGTCCGAATATGTCCGAATCATAGTTCTTGAACAGTTCATGTACAACAACTCGAAAATCATTGTAAATATAGGCACTATCATGGCTAAAACAAGCAAATTGCCACCATGTCGAGCCCACCTTTGGTCACGCGGGCATAGATTCTGAATACCATTCCAACATGTCACAACTTGCAGGGTTTGATGGATCGATGATCCAAATGATCCTTTATTATATTGCAAAAAATAATTATACCAATACTACTACATTGATCATCACCATTGCGAGTAGGTATTCAGTATACAACCTGACAGAATGCTTAAAGGGTAGGGGCTACTCAAACTATAACAATGGAGAGACGTTCCCATTGGTTGCAGCTTTCCCTTTGTACAATTTGCGACAGGCTCCGCGAAGAAATCACGTACTGCTGGACGCGCGCCCGAGCGCCCGTGCGCGCATAGAGCTTGGAAAACGCAAGTGGCTGAGATCACAAACCAGCCATGTACGACATTTCTGCTGGCTAACTTCTTATCTGATTGGTGGCTTCAACCCATCTGCAAAACTATTAGTCAGTTGGGATCATCATCCCATTTCTAGTGTTGTGATTGAAACATATTTGAATACATCACCAACCAGTCATCGTTCCATTGTTGTCCCATTGCTTGTCGTGTGTAACTTGCAAATGAAGCTAGTTATAGTACATCATAGTACATCCACATCTCCTTAAGTTGTTTCCCAATGATTGATCGCTTGATGCCAGTATGTGGAAATGCATTTGTTTTAGACGAAAACACCAACTGGCTCCAGGAACATGCTCTTGACATGATGATCTGTGTTTCGTTGGATTGATGGACGGACAATTAGTGTATATACAGCAACACAATACAACATATTGTTTTTGTATGTTTTTGTTGACTTTCAGTTCCTATCTAATTTCCTTCAATCCTTTTATTTCCAATGATTTCCTATAATTTCCTATGATCATCACGCGTTCTCGGACCTCTAGTTTCACAGCTCTCTGGCCGCCGGTTCCATTAGCTCATTCATCCGTGGCCTGTGGCAGCCATCTCCAATGGAATTCAGCAAACCCTCCACGTGAAACATGGTGTACGTTCCTGTTGACCAGCCGGAAACTGGCTAAAGTGGCTCTTCCTGGCTTGACATTGGTGCTTTGGGCACTGGGCAAAGATGTTTTTTTTGACTGATTTATGCAAGGCTTCAACCTCCCCAAAAACAACATCATTTGAGGCCCAAAAGAATGGATCATTGAGGCCCAAAAACGCCTTTGTAGTAGAGGGTTTGATGGCATAAGCCCTGTTTGGAAATGTTGAAAAAACTCTCCTCGCCACCGATTTGTTGGGCTTCATGGCAATAAGAAATGGAATCAACAAACTTGACCAAATCATACCACATTTTAGATATTGATAGCTATTATCCCCTTAGATCATTATATTGTCTGTATATATATATATATAAATACACCGTCCAGTAAATTGTAACATAGCTATGGAAAATCACCATTCTTCAACAGCCAGTTCTCATCTAGAAGTGGCTAGTTTTGTGGCTATTCTTCACAGCTATGTGGGGATGGGTCAAAACCCTGGTACCTTTTGTTCACCCCAAAATAGCTGGTAAATGGATGTTCATCCCACTAAAAATGTATCTATAGGTATTGACCCATCCCTATGTTAGTGACCCAGAAATTATCGCACCAAGCTCTGGCGCGCCTTGCCCTCCAGCCACTCCAAGCGTCGTTTCAGCAGGTCGTTCCGGCGTTCCATGCGCCAGAGCTCCCTGGGAGAAGTGGAATAGATGGTGATGGTGATGGTTATGAATGGTTAATAGATGTTAATAGTGATTAATAATGGTTGGAAGTAGGAATCATGAAGTGAAGAATAGTGAAGGCCCTTGAATCTACTGAGAACCCTTTTCCGACCACTTTTTTTCCTACTCAGTTCTGTGAAGTCAGTATATAATATACAGTAAGTGCATACCAACTTACTTTTAGTGTTAACCTTTAACCATGAATCATGATGATTTTGGCCTCTGATGATCAGAAGGATTTTGATCCTTAGCATCAACATGCATAAATGGTGATGCATTTTTACCACTGATACTTGGAATGCAACCAAACCAGAAACACATTTCAAGTGTGAGGATAGTATAGGGACATCTCCAAATGAATCAGAAGAAAACAGGGTCAACGGGGTCAACATGACAGTTTTTATTCCCCTTGAGCTGAATCAACATTCTCCAGAGAAACGTTCATTCTTCAGTGGTTTCTAGGCTCATTGCAAATCAGTAAGAATAATATGAATTATATATATAATATATATAATTATATAAGTATAATATGTATATATATATATATAAATAATCATATATATATATATTATATAACCAACCATAGCAACTCTAATACAAGTAACTAATACATACTAAAAACAGTAAAAAAAATAGGCATCATAGTTTCAGAATGGCAGGATGCCACCTGCCAGATGCATCTCCCAGCCTGCTCAAGGATGCCACCTGCCGGTTGGCCACGCCACTCATTTGCTCCACCACCTCGGTGGCATCCCATGGCCGACAGTTTCATCTTAGGATCTTAGCAGATTAATGAATTGATATATATATATATATATATATATCCGCCGACCCCGGCTGCGCAAGGGGGAGCGCGTTAGGGAATAAGACAGCAGCACCCAGCCAGTAGCCAGCAGTCAATATCCGCCGACCCCGGCAGACGCAAGGGGGAGCGTGCCAGGGAATAATACTTTTGACTCTTGTTTCGGACTACTACTACTACTACTACTACTGCCATGGTGTTTTCCCATCCGGCAGGTGCCTTTTGAACAGAAGGAGTCACAGGAGCAGGAGCAGCAGCAGCAGCAGGAGGAAATAGAAGGTGTTTGACAAGACGGTTATCATCACAAAGGCAATTCTTTTTTTTCTAGGATTTCAGAAGAGACGTTAGGCACTTTTTGGGCTCGATTTTGGAGCGTTTTGGGCACGAAATTAGGTGGCGTTTCAGCGTTTCAAGTGGTGGCCATGAGCAGCAGCAGCAACAGGAGCAACAGGAGGGTTCTATGTCTCATTGCACAAACAGTGGTATAAACATTGGTCGAAAACTATAAACATTGGTATATTATTGTGATTGATTTTGCGTCATGTTCGGCACGAAATTAGGTGTCTGGCTGCTGGTTTCTTACTTTATTAGAGGCAGTAGCAGCAATCAAAATTAGAGATCAAATTGGACAAAATTAGATTTCTATTGGACAAAGTTGGATTTCTAGTAGGATTTCAGAAGGGACGTTTCGGCCCCCGAAAACCTATTCTTGTGATTGATTTTGCGTCATGTTCGGCAGGAAATTGGGTGGTGTTTTGCTGTTTCGGCTGTGTTTTAAAAAAGGTGTCTGGCTGCTGGTTTCTTGCTTTATTATAGGCAGCAGCAGCAGTCAAAATTAGAGATCAAAATTGGATAAAATTGGATTTCTAGTAGGAGTTCAGAAGGGACGTTTCGGCCCCCGAAAACCTAATATTGTGATTGATTTTCCGTCATGTTCGGCACGAAATTGGGTGGTGTTTTGCTGTTTCGGCTGTGTTTTAAAAAAGGTGTCTGGCTGCTGGTTTCTTGCTTTATTAGAGGTAGCAGCAGCAATCAAAATTAGCGATCAATCAAATTTGACTAAAATTAGATTTCTATTGGACAAAATTGGATTTCTAGTAGGATTTCAGAAGGGACGTTTCGGCCCCCGAAAACCTATTATTGTGATTGATTTTGCGTTATGTTCGGCACGAAATTAGGTGGTGTTTTGCTGTTTCGGTTGTGTTTTACAAAAGGTGTCTGGCTGCTGGTTTCTTGCTTTATTATAGGTAGCAGCAGCAGTCAAAATTAGAGATCAAAATTGGACAAAATTGGATTTCTAGTAGGATTTCAGAAGGGACGTTTCGGCCCCCGAAAACTTAATATTGTGATTGATTTTCCGTCATGTTCGGCACGAAATTGGGTGGTGTTTTGCTGTTTCGGCTGTGTTTTAAAAAAGGTGTCTGGCTGCTGGTTTCTCGCTTTATTAGAGGCAGCAGCAGCAATCAAAATTAGAGATCAAATTTGACTAAAATTAGATTTCTATTGGACAAAATTGGATTTCTAGTAGGATTTCAGAAGGGACGTTTCGGCCCCCGAAAACCTATTATTGTGATTGATTTTGCGTTATGTTCGTCACGAAATTAGGTGGTGTTTTGCTGTTTCGGCTGTGTTTTAAAAAAGGTGTCTGGCTGCTGGTTTCTTGCTTTATTATAGGTAGCAGCAGCAGTCAAAATTAGAGATCAAAATTGGACAAAATTGGATTTCTAGTAGGATTTCAGAAGGGACGTTTCGGCCCCCGAAAACTTAATATTGTGATTGATTTTCCGTCATGTTCGGCACGAAATTGGGTGGTGTTTTGCTGTTTCGGCTGTGTTTTAAAAAAGGTGTCTGGCTGCTGGTTTCTCGCTTTATTAGAGGCAGCAGCAGCAATCAAAATTAGAGATCAAATTTGATTAAAATTAGATTTCTATTGGACAAAATTGGATTTCTAGTAGGAGTTCAGAAGGGACGTTTCGGCCCCCGAAAACCTAATATTGTGATTGATTTTCCGTCATGTTCGGCACGAAATTGGGTGGTGTTTTGCTGTTTCGGTTGTGTTTTACAAAAGGTGTCTGGCTGCTGGTTTCTTGCTTTATTATAGGTAGCAGCAGCAGTCAAAATTAGAGATCAACTTGGACAAAATTGATTTCTAGTAGGATTTTCAGAAGGGACTTTTCGGCCCCCGAAAACTTAATTTGTGATGGATTTTCCGTCATGTTCGTCACGACATTGGTGGGTTTTGCTGTTTCGCTGTGTTTTAAAAGTGTCTGGCTGCTGGTTTCTTACTTTATTAGAGGCAGTAGCAACAATCAAAATTAGAGATCAAATTGGACAAAATTAGATTTCTATTGGACAAAGTTGGATTTCTAGTAGGATTTCAGAAGGGACGTTTCGGCCCCCGAAAACCTATTATTGTGATTGATTTTGCGTTATGTTCGTCACGAAATTGGGTGGTGTTTTGCTGTTTCGGCTGTGTTTTAAAAAAGGTGTCTGGCTGCTGGTTTCTTGCTTTATTATAGGTAGCAGCAGCAGTCAAAATTAGAGATCAAAATTTGACAAAATTGGATTTCTAGTAGGATTTCAGAAGGGATGTTTCGGCCCCCGAAAACTTAATATTGTGATTGATTTTCCGTCATGTTCGGCACGAAATTGGGTGGTGTTTTGCTGTTTCGGCTGTGTTTTAAAAAAGGTGTCTGGCTGCTGGTTTCTCGCTTTATTAGAGGCAGCAGCAGCAATCAAAATTAGAGATCAAATTTGATTAAAATTAGATTTCTATTGGACAAAATTGGATTTCTAGTAGGAGTTCAGAAGGGACGTTTCGGCCCCCGAAAACCTAATATTGTGATTGATTTTCCGTCATGTTCGGCACGAAATTGGGTGGTGTTTTGCTGTTTCGGCTGTGTTTTAAAAAAGGTGTCTGGCTGCTGGTTTCTTGCTTTATTAGAGGCAGCAGCAGCAATCAAAATTAGAGATCAATCAAATTTGACTAAAATTAGATTTCTATTGGACAAAATTGGATTTCTAGTAGGATTTCAGAAGGGACGTTTCGGCCCCCGAAAACCTATTATTGTGATTGATTTTGCGTTATGTTCGGCACGAAATTAGGTGGTGTTTTGCTGTTTCGGCTGTGTTTTACAAAAGGTGTCTGGCTGCTGGTTTCTTGCTTTATTATAGGTAGCAGCAGCAGTCAAAATTAGAGATCAAAATTGGACAAAATTGGATTCTAGTAGGATTTCAGAAGGGACGTTTCGGCCCCCGAAAACTTAATATTGTGATTGATTTTCCGTCATGTTCGGCACGAAATTGGGTGGTGTTTTGCTGTTTCGGCTGTGTTTAAAAAAGGTGTCTGGCTGCTGGTTTCTCGCTTTATTAGAGGCAACAGCAGCAACAAACAGTGGTATAAACATTGGTCGAAAACTATAAACATTGGTATATTATTGTGATTGATTTTGCGTCATGTTCGGCACGAAATTAGGTGTCTGGCTGCTGGTTTCTTACTTTATTAGAGGCAGTAGCAGCAATCAAAATTAGAGATCAAATTGGACAAAATTAGATTTCTATTGGACAAAGTTGGATTTCTAGTAGGATTTCAGAAGGGACGTTTCGGCCCCCGAAAACCTATTCTTGTGATTGATTTTGCGTCATGTTCGGCAGGAAATTAGGTGGTGTTTTGCTGTTTCGGCTGTGTTTTAAAAAAGGTGTCTGGCTGCTGGTTTCTTGCTTTATTATAGGCAGCAGCAGCAGTCAAAATTAGAGATCAAAATTGGACAAAATTGGATTTCTAGTAGGAGTTCAGAAGGGACGTTTCGGCCCCCGAAAACCTAATATTGTGATTGATTTTCCGTCATGTTCGGCACGAAATTGGGTGGTGTTTTGCTGTTTCGGCTGTGTTTTAAAAAAGGTGTCTGGCTGCTGGTTTCTTGCTTTATTAGAGGTAGCAGCAGCAATCAAAATTAGCGATCAATCAAATTTGACTAAAATTAGATTTCTATTGGACAAAATTGGATTTCTAGTAGGATTTCAGAAGGGACGTTTCGGCCCCCGAAAACCTATTATTGTGATTGATTTTGCGTTATGTTCGGCACGAAATTAGGTGGTGTTTTGCTGTTTCGGCTGTGTTTTACAAAAGGTGTCTGGCTGCTGGTTTCTTGCTTTATTATAGGTAGCAGCAGCAGTCAAAATTAGAGATCAAAATTGGACAAAATTGGATTCTAGTAGGATTTCAGAAGGGACGTTTCGGCCCCCGAAAACTTAATATTGTGATTGATTTTCCGTCATGTTCGGCACGAAATTGGGTGGTGTTTTGCTGTCTCGGCTGTGTTTTAAAAAAGGTGTCTGGCTGCTGGTTTCTCGCTTTATTAGAGGCAGCAGCAGCAATCAAAATTAGAGATCAAATTTGACTAAAATTAGATTTCTATTGGACAAAATTGGATTTCTAGTAGGATTTCAGAAGGGACGTTTCGGCCCCCGAAAACTTAATATTGTGATTGATTTTCCGTCATGTTCGGCACGAAATTGGGTGGTGGTTTGCTGTTTCGGCTGTGTTTTAAAAAAGGTGTCTGGCTGCTGGTTTCTCGCTTTATTAGAGGCAGCAGCAGCAGTCAAAATTAGAGATCAAATTTGACTAAAATTAGATTTCTATTGGACAAAATTAGATTTCTAGTAGGATTTCAGAAGGGACGTTTCGGCCCCCGAAAACCTATTATTGTGATTGATTTTGCGTCATGTTCGGCACGAAATTGGGTGGTGTTTTGCTGTTTCGGCTGTGTTTCAAAAAAGGTGTCTGGCTGCTGGTTTCTTGGTTTATTATAGGCAGCAGCAGCAATCAAAATTAGAGATTGAAATTAGACAAAATTGGATTTCTGTTCGACAAAATTGGATTTCTAGTAGGATTTCAGAAGGAACGTTTCGGCCCCCGAAAACCTATTCTTGTGATTGATTTTGCGTCATGTCCGGTGTGAAATTAGGTGGTGTTTTGCTGTTTCGGCTGTGTTTTAAAAAATGTCTCTGGCTGCTGGTTTCTTGCTTTATTATAGGTAGCAGCAGCAGTCAAAATTTGAGAAAAAAATTGGACACAATTGGATTTCTAGTAATCTAGTAGGATTTCAGAAGGGACGTTTCGGCCCCCGGGAAGCTTGTTATTGCAACTGGCTTCCGGGGAACTTGTGATTGCGACTGCTTTTGCGTCATTTTCGGCACGAAAGTCGGTGGTGTTTTGGTTTCGGCTATGTTTCGCAAATGGTGTTAGGCTGCTAGTTTCTTGCTTTAGACAGCAGCAGGAGTCAGGATTTCTAGTCGGAGTTCAGAAGGGCTGTTTCGGCCTCCGGGGAATTTGTTATTACGACGGATTTTACGTCATTTTTGGCATGAAATTAGGTGGTGTTTTGCTGTTTCGGTTGTGTTTCGAAAAAGGTGTCTGCAGTAGCAGCAGGAGCAAGAGCAGCAGCAGCCAGCAGCCAGCAGCAGCCAGAGCCAGTAAGCAGGCAGCAGGCAGCCAGTTGTCAGCAGCCAGGAGCCATCAGCCAGTAAGCAGGCCAGCAGCAGGCAGCCAGCAGGCAGCGGGTAGTAGCCAGCAGACAGTAGGAGCAGCAGCTTCCTTGCTCAATAACAACAACAGCAAAATAGCAACAACAACAACAACAACCAGCACCAGCACCTGCACCACCACCACCACCACCACTACCAGTAGCAGCAGCAGCGGTATTGGACACAGTGCAGGAACATAACAAACTGCAAGCGGCATTGGACACAGTGCAGGAACATAAACTTGATGGTAGCAGTATCAGCAGCAGCAGCACTAGCAGCAGCAGTCAAAATTTGATTCTATTGGAGTTCTAAGCGGATTTCCGAAGGGACGTTCCAGCCTCCGGGGACTGTTATTGCAACTGCTTTTGCGTCGTTTTCGGCACGAAATTAGGTGGTGCTTTGCTTCATTACCGAACCGCACGAAATTAGGTGGTGTTTTGTCGTTTCAGCTGTGCTTCGAAAAAGGTGTCTGCAGCAGCAGCGGGAGCACGAGCAGCAGCAGCACGAGGAGCAGGAGCACGAACATCCGCAGCAGCAACAACAACATTAACAACAACAACAACAACAACAACAACAACAACAACAACAACAACCACAACAACAACAACAGCAACAGCAACAGCAACAGCAACAACAACAACAACAAGAAAAACAAGAACAAGAACAACAGGAGAAGAAGAAGAAGAAGGAGGAGGAGGAGGAGGAGGAAGAGAATAATTGTTTAAATCTAAAAACTTACTTTGCGCCGGCACTGGTCCACTGATATGTTTTACAATATCGTCCTGTGTCATTTCTGTGTTTCGATTGGATTCGTCCGTGTGATTTTGTTGATGCCACCTTCGTGTTGCAGGTCGGGCAATAATGGGCATACTGCCTACATACTGCACCATTCTTGACACGAAACTCTCGCCCGCAGTGTCCTTGTGTTTGCACCTTTCCGGTAACTATGGTGGATTTTGTAGCTTTGCCGCAAGCTGTGAGCAAGTCGTCGCACAAAGCCCGCCCCATACGGTGCCCGCACGCCATACATTCGATAGAGGATAAACGAGACGATCATCGCCTCATTTCCAAACCAATTCATACAACCTTGCGATATCTTAACAGCCATTGTCACAAAAGAAATCATAGGTTCTAACCTTCCATTCCGTCCTCTGTACCTTGCAAAAGGCCCACAGGTCCACTGATGGACTGACACCTACTTGGCCTTATGTTCTTTGCAATGGTTGCAACGGTTACCTCACTCCTAAATCTGATATGGTGTAGTGCAGCTGTATATATACTGTCCAGTACTACCGCACATGCCGGTGACAGAAGTTTCGAAAGTAGGAAAGCCATAGGAGAGGTTCATTGCTGTGAGTCATGGATGGACCCACCGATCGAAAAGTCGTTGAAGGCAGTGCAGTGTTGTTGTCGTTATTATTGTCATTACTAGTACTAGTAGTAGTAGTAGTAGTAGTAGTAGTAGTAGTAGTAGTAGTAGTAATAGTAGTAGTAGTAGTAGTAGTGCCATCGCTTCTGACAACTGATCAGCCACCGCCACAATATGCCACCTAGACACAGCTGCCAACCGTCGCTGCTCACAGCCAAAGTCCCTGAACACAAAGCCGCTCACCATCTTCACTGCCTCCGCATCATTCCTCCACGCCGCTGCTTTCACCACCTGCCACCGTTCAACCCCTTCTCTGACATCCCTACTAGGACACCAGTTTCAATTCCAACAAGCCACCCCTGAATACTCTTTCCTTCCCCATCTCTTTGCCCCACACCACCTGCAGCACATTGCACACGGACGTGTTGACACGATTGCCGGCCAGCCAACATTCCAGCACTGCGCTTGCACTCCGCAGCTGCGCCGGCATGGTTTGCGCCGGATGGATTACACCATATGTTACACAGGAAAAAAGCTAAAATGTTAGACTTTCTTCTCTGCTTTTTCTATAATCTTTTGGGCGTGTCCCATCATTTCGAACGGGCCATATTTCGTAGCTCTCAGCTCTCGTTGCTGCAGTCCAACTAGAATAGCTTCAATCCAAAAAAAAGTTGTGTAGCTATCTTATACCACCAACTAAGCTGGAGCTTTCTTGTCATGATAGCTTTTGGCAATTTGGTCTTATGTCTCTTGGCCCATATGCACATAGATGTGTTGTTGGGTTCAGAGTAAGCTTCTAATTCAACTGTCTCGTCATGCAGCCAGCACCTTACTGCAATTGATCCGAAAGCTGCACCAGTTACGCACATAGCCCTTCGTGCATGATCCTGCATGTGATAATGCATTTGCCAAAGTTTCTCGTCACACAGCTTGCCTGTTTCACCAGCAATCCCCGATTCTTTACCGGGGTCGGCGGCAGGGGCGGCAGCCCTTAAATAAATTGACCAATTGAAAACAATTTAATCAACATGTTTTTTTTTTTTTTAAATATCCGTCGACCAGAGTAGGAGTTGCCCAGTGAAGCATTCATAACCATTCCCAAGATGTCCAAAGATCACAAAAAGAAAACTTGTTCAATGGGGGATGTCAGTGCTGGAGATGAAACAGAATTCACTCTGAACGCTAGCCGCTAGCAAGCAAACAGGGCGATTCCAAACAACATTTAGGAAACTTCATTAGCGCGGCGTTGATTCTTGGATAAAGAGTTCTGGGATACCACTGCTAGTTTCCACCGTCCAAATCCTTCATGTCTTCATGTAAACATGTCCAATACACCACTTGGTTGACAAGCGTGTATAAGCGTGTTGTCAGCCATTACCTCGAGCCAAATTTCGATCATCAATCATACTGCAGCTACAGTACTAGCCCCCGAAACCCCGTCTGAGACGTCCGACGCTCCGGTTGGTGCGCAGTGAGACCTCTCAGGTGCATCGGGGCATGCTCGTTGTTTTCAACTGACACATCCATCCTATCAATGTGTATCTCATTGTATATATACATAAGATGATAATGATAATAACTAAAACTATTAAACCGATAATGAGCCGTGATAATATATATATATAATTATCAAACATGACTATTGATTATTATGGTATATTATGGTTAAAAAAACACAACATATAATCAATGATCAACACACAAACAGCTCGACTCCCATTTGTAGTGTGGTTACCCCGATAATGATGATCATGACCCAAAAGCAAGTTCTTAATCTCTTCTTGTTGTGCAAAATCTCTGCACATTGTTGCTTTGTTTTGGGTTTACCCCATCAAATGAGTTTTCCATTGTCCTAAAAATGGTATTAATAGGTATTGATCCATACCCATTTAACCATTTCTTTGGTGTGCTCTGACGTGACCCAGCCACCAATGCTGCAAAAAATCCTTCAACAGCGCCTGATGCAGCATCCACAGCACCAACATCGCCATTAGCATCACCTACTGATTCGCCACGGATCATGAAACTTTTCTGAAAGGTTTCATACTATGGAAAACATTAGGTTCCCGTGTTCCTTCGACTTACCTTGAGCGTACAACGCATACTTCATCAGATATATTGGGCCGTTGTCCTCATCAGCTTTGACCTCAGACCCTACGGCCAGGTCCCTCAACTGAGCATCCAACAGCCACTATGGAGCCACGATTCTGCAAAGTCCAAGCGAAGAAATCGGACCAAACTGCTTTGAGCCTTCAGCACAGGAGACCAACCCTGACCAGACCAACAATGCAAAAACCAACAACCATCAACAACCATGAAAAACCGTCCATCAAGGATTATCAAGAATCATCAACAAGCATCAACAACCATCAAGAACCATCAATGATAATCAATAATCATCAAGCACCATCAACAATCAACAAACCTCAGCCATGAGGGTATTTCGGTCATTGCTCAAGTAAACTTAGGGGCATCCCAGTGGGCGATCTGTGCTGAACCGTGGTGTGGTTCATGACTTGGGCAGATGCTAACCGACTGGAAGAAAACGTGTTCAACTAACTTGTCTGATTGTCTGACAAAAGTCAGATAACTTTGGACTTCTATTTACACAGTGTTTCTGATTTCAGGGGTGTCAATCTGACGACAGGTGGCTGTAGAAATTTCATGAAATTTCTACCTCAGATCCTCATCGATCTTAATTGGGCCAAGGCTAGAAAAGCTCTTAGCAAATGGGAAAATCCCGGAAAACAATTGGAATCCCACGGGGTTTAATGCCATTACAAACAAACCATGTAAATCGAGGCGAACCATCGAAGCAACCTGGCTATAGCTGTCTTCTATATCCCGTTACAACTTATAACAAACGTATAGCTTGGATATCCCCACCGAGGTTGTCATAACATGTCATAACGGTAGCTGCTAGTCCCCTCTCAGTACGGCAGGAGTCAAGTGGCGGAATATCAAGTTGCCACACCATTTGTCCTCGCAGGAAAGGGGCTAGCAGGGAAAAGCGGGTGGTTTCAATCACAAAAAAAGGCGGTACAAAAAAAAACCTGATGATACAATTTGATACAACATCCATCTAATTCAGGAACGATGAGGAGAAAAGAATCCGAAAGCAATCAAAACAGAAAGTAGTTTAGGGTAATAAGCTATGAGCTTCTTAAAGAAATGACAATTGAAACGACAAAAAACAAACGAGTGGTGTGTCTGGGACAGGTGCTGAGACCCAACGAGGTACTTGATATTATTTACATCATATATGATACTATTGTACATATACGCGCAAACCCCCCAGTTCGCCCAAACAACTTCTTGCAGATTTTGAAGGAATATAAATTCCGACCCCCGTTAAACTTTACATTCAATTGCGAGATCAACAAGATTCAACAAGGGTATTAGGAATATAAATTCCCACCCCCGTTAAACTTCTACATTCATTGAAGATCTTCAATAAGGGTTTAATTCTCCAACCCCCGTTAAACTTCTACATTCATTGAAGATCTTCAATAAAGGGTTTAATTCTCCAACCCCCGTTAAACTTCTACATTCATTGGAGATCTTCAATAAGGGTTTAATTCTCCCACCCCCTTTAAACTTCTACATTCATTGAAGATCTTCAATAAGGGTTTGGTGATGGTGATGATGATGATGATGATGATGTTGATGTTGTTCATGATGTTGTTGATGATGATGTTGTTGTAACATTCAACGCACAGGTAGCTAAGCTGCGCGTTGCAACATGAAAGCCATGATTATGGACATGTTCATTTTGTCCCACAAAACACAGTGTTTTTTGATGTTCGGACATGTCGTCGGCGTGGGCGCGGGCAAACTGAGGGGTTTGCCCGTACATATACACATACACAGTATAATATATACATATATATATATATAATATAGTATACTGTGTATATATATATAATATGTACTGTGTATATATAACTATACGGAACTATACATACTGTATACATATATATATATACATACACTGTATATACAGTATATATATATGCAGTATATATATATATACACTGTGTATAAATATATATATATACATATATACAATATATATATATATATATACACTGAGTATATATATATACACAGCATATATATATATTATGTATGTGTATATATATAATGTATGTGTATCTATATATATATACATATTATGTATGTGTGAAATGTACATATACTGTATAACATATATATATGTATGTATGTACTGTGTATACATGATTATATATGTACACTATATAGAGTGATGGCAACATCTTCCTTTGGAACGACATAGCCTTGAAACATTATTCCCTCTTTGTCCAAATGACCGTGTTCGTCATTCATCATTGTTCTGGCGAAATGGGCTATCTACATCTCCATTACATCATTACTATGATTGCTACCCTCTGGTAAACTAAGATAGATGCGGAGAACCCAATATTTGTAGATCACTTCCTAGGAAAACCATTGATTTGCCACATCTATGTTAGTTTACCCCATGGTACTAAAACTACCAGTAACTACCATGTTATCAAAAACAAAACAACCATGCAGCATCCTGCAGTGCAGCCCTGTGAGCACTCCTGCTGCTTGGAATCCATTCACCGGGCCACAATTCCTGGGTGGTATCAGCTGAGTGTTGGTGAACAAATCAAATGTTATCCCGCAATTTAGCATGTGAACTACGCGTCAACCACATCACAGCATATAAGTCGTATTGGGTTTGAACACTTTACCAGTTCTTTTTCATTCTTTTTCTGGGCATGTCTTGTTCCTGCTATCAAAGTGGTTGACATTGACAGAAACCCTCTGCTCAATAACAACTCCAAGGGAGAAAGTGCTCAAGGTACAGCTTCCTCATATGTGGGTCAAATTGGTACATATTTTTTTTGACCCACAACCAAATTGTTGACCCATCATCTAGATGGCATAGAATATTGGTACCAAATTCGAAAGATGGTTGACTTACTTTTTCCCAAATGAGCAGTGTTTTTAGACTGCTTGGTTAAGAACGGCATTCCCCGTTCATGGATTGTGATCATCCCCAATACATTGGTTAGTATATGATATAGTACAATCCCCGACTAATCATCACAACCGGGGTAGATCGCAGCCACTGCTCAGTTCATGGTTTATGATGTATGATGATGTATGATGCTTCACCAAGCAGCGGCTCGTACGGGACGATGAGCATGATCTGTGCCATGACCAGGAAACCTGGGGAAAAACCATGAGAAGAACTGAGTTTTGCCAAGGTTTCTGCCCTGGGAAGGCACCCCCCTTAATTAGCGTGGAAGCAACAAAACCAGCCACGTTTATGATCGAAACCTGAGACGAACCACTGGATGCCCGGACCAAGCACCACGAAGTTTAAACCTCAAGGATGCAGTTGCATCGATGCTGACTCAGCTGACAGCTGCTGATTTTGGAGATCTACCACCTAGTCCCAAGTCAAAGTCACTCTGGGAATCAAACATGACAATGGAACATGTATGAACATGTTCTTTTTGGATCTGATTTTCCCATTGAAACCTCCATAGGGGATTTTGTGTTGCCACCTTTGATTCCTGCAGGGTATTGCTATATGGTACCAGTATTGTCTGACCTGTGTCTTCCCGATCCATCCCCATCGCCTACCCCAACAGCTCCTTTGCCCTGTCACCCTCAAGAACAAATGTGTTTGTTACATGTAGTAGACATATACATCTGGATCATCTGGGTATGTGCCACATGGAACCCCAGTTTAAATCCTCAAGGATCTAGCATTGTCATGCGCCTCATGCGCTGTCTCGAACAACCATTTGGTTTCATACCAAAACCTGGTTTATCCCGGTTTTCAATTTTTCCTAAACCCCCAAAATCGCAAAGAAAACCACATGATTCCTCCAAGTTGCAGCTGATCCGTTGCAGGGTCACCAACAAGGACGTGGTCTCTGTGACGAAGGGCCGCCTCGCAGTTATGGGTCAGATGGCTATGTGGGTTCAATGGGGCAAAGTATGGACACGAAACAGTTTCATTTGTTCTTGATATGGGTCCAAAAATCAGGCACCGGAGCAGTGAACCACCTTGCCTTGTTGCCGATTCTCAGGTGTCCCCGGACGACGGGATGTAAAACCAGCACTGGATAACATAAATCTTAGTCTTGCTTACTTGAATACCACCAGACTGGCACCGCGTCCACCCCTTAAAGAGGGATCCAGTCCTGCCACGACAGGAATGGCCTGGTGAGGTACTTCAAGCTGAGCTTCAACCATTTGAAATGGATGTACCTCTGCGGAGCAAAGTTGCTGGATATTATGAGTCGATCCTGCCGGTAAGACAACCGGGCACCCACATAATTGTTGATAGCTTCATTGCTGATTCCATATTGGTATGAGGCAAAACTACCAGCCACATCCAACCACCAACAGTGCATGGATTCAGATCCTAACCTCAAAACCAAGGCTTTATTGGGGGTTGATTCCCACTAAAAACTGCGGCCGTCATCATCGCCATCAACGCCGCACCATTGTCATCCTTATATCCATCGTTTTTCCATGATCAAAACAATGTCATAATGTCATAACGTCACAATGTCATAATGCCATAATGTCTCCATGTCACACATATATATATATTATATATATACGCCCGGCAGCAGTGTCTGGGTCACATCAACAAGGGCCCAATGAGAGCCATGTACGGCACCTTGGATGGGTGCGTTCAGATGTCAAAACGCAGGTCATCACAAGCTATTTTGAATCATGGAACCAGCGACAGGTATATGAGCAATGGACAGGGGTTTGCGTGTTTCCCGATTCCTGGGACATCGCCATTCAGAAGCAGATCTAACCTAAGCATCTTCTACAACTCCACTTGAGACATTCATGAAGCGGTTTAAAGTTCATCTAACGTTATCGTATAACGGACTATTGAAAACAATCATAGATTTGCTTTACATAACTTTACATCTATGAATCCCATCCCTCCATTTTTAAACGCCCCATATTTATGGTCCCAATCCATGGTGGTTTCCCTAGATCCACAATGGTGGGGACCAGAGCGAGGCGCCGTGGAAAGTGACATCCAAAGCAAGGCCGAGAAGTAGACCACCTGGTGATCCCATGGAAGGTGCGAGAGGAGATCCCAAACTCATGGCATGATATCAGGAGGTGTTGAACCAGAGTTTTTAAGTGGTTTTTCCATGTTTTTCCCATGTTTTTCCCATGTGTTTTTGTAATCTCAAATAGCCGGTATAGGTCAAACAAAAAAAACTTGATCATCGGATAGGTTGTGAATAAATCTGATGATCTCCCCATGATACCCCATATTTGGATATATTTGGTGGTTTTATACCCCCATGTTTCCCATAAGAAATGGCGTGGTGCAGCCGTGCAACGTTCACGGCATCATCCTGGATCCTGACATTTCTGATCGAGGAGGGTGGCTGGCGCCGGATTGTTTCGGGGTAACAAGTGGTGGTTTAAGCACAAATAATCTGGGTAAATTATAATATTTCACTAACCTGAATTAAGGCCATTTTGGGATGATTCCCCTTAGTAACTATGGTTCTAGTGAGGTCGCAGTGAGGTCGTTATAATTTACCCAGAAATAATGGTGATTTAGCAATCAAAAAGGATCAACAATGAAAATCATAAATTTAACCATCTGATGTTCACATTCAACAAAGCAGAAACTAGCCAGATGTATTGTGGAATTATCGTGGTATCTACCAAATTCACCACATCAACAACACATGAAAACCATGCTCAACAAGTGGCTGAAACTCCGGCCACAGGAAGTCGCCTGCGTGGAACTTGGGAGATTTGGACCCGGGAAGAAATGGGTTGAACCATGCTTAAGCATCAAAACTACGGATCATTTAGGTTCCGGCATGAGATTTCCATGTTTCACCAAGCTGAGACTGATAGATTCTTAACTAAGGATGATTTTCTTGGATTATCCACCATCGTCATCCATCGTCTATGGGTTTCGGCTGTTGTCAGAGAACATGTTACGATTGATCAATGGGTAAACATTCACCTCCAAACTGAGGTAGCCAGGTCAATGGATGTGTCCTATCTGGTATATACCAAAGCTCAACCTCCAATAAGAGGTTCTCGGACCCAAACAATCAAACATAATCAATCAAACCTTAAGACCTTAAGACCTTTGTTTGGGGTCCAAAAATATTGATCTAGAACTTCTAAACTCGCCAATGAGGGTTTGTCTGAAAATCACTTACCGTATACGTCATCCCATCTACCGGTTAAACATAAGTTCCCCTATCATTTGATGGCCGGTGTACTACCCACTTGCAGACACACTCAAATATAAATTTTGCAAAAAATCAATGTATTTTCCGCTAGTTTCCAATCATATCTAATGTATGAAGGGTTTTTGCAAATTATATCCTCAATATCTATTGGTGAGATCCTTATGTTCATGTTTAAATATTCCATCATATCGCATAACGGTTGGGGTTGTGTATGTATATATATATATCCCATTCCAGTCCCAACAAGATCTCACTACAATCCCACTAATTAAACACACATAAAAGCAAAAAAACACACACACAAAAAAAACACCATGTGTTCCATACCAGTTTCACCATGGTTTAGGGTCTTCGGTGAACTACAATTTCCCAACTAATTCACTCACCATGAAGGTCATGAAAATCCCGAGCAGATGAGTTCCATACCAGCTTCATTGCCCTGGCCTTTGACCCCCAGAAGGTGCTTCACACGATGTCGAAGATAAACCACAGCCAACTGGGAAGCTGGGAATAAAAAAAGGAGCTGGGTTTATCTGAAATTAGGTTATCACCTGTTGGGATATATATATATGATTATAAAGGTATTATCGTATTATTGTATATCCAAACCTTATGTATCTGTAAATATCCAAAACTGACCAAAAATTATGTATCTGTATATATATATATATCCAAAACTTTCCAAAACTTCTGTATCTGTATATATCCACAACTTATGAAATATGATGGGATATCCAATCATGATGATAACGATTTAGCATATATATATCATATATATATGGGAAATTCATCCATACATTGGGATATAAAAATGTATTAGGAAATACAGTAATGGATGATAGAAGTCCAACCTCCCGTCATGGCCATAACATTAAAGAGGGAACATGTTCATCACATCCATGGGAATAAACCATTGGATTTGGGGGATTTCCATGTCATTAGTATTGACCAGGCATTTTAAGGGGACACCATGATCCCGGGCAACAGTTGATGCCAATCAACTCCTATAGGTAAATCCTAATGTGTGGGTAGTTGTATTTTTTTTGCAACGTCAAGAAACACATTATGGTGTTTTGCCAACGAGACAAAACATGGATGTTCTTCCTTGTTCTTAGCGGTCTTGAACAAAAATTAGGACATTAAAATAGGTACAGCATCAAGTTGTGGCAGTTGTCTCAGCCCACCCTACACAAAGTTTCTTCCAATAGGACGCAAGGACAAGCGGGCCCGTGTGCATGATGTGAATCCTGAAACGACTATCACCTACCTATCTATGCCTTTGCCCACCCCAAGCTAGCGATTTCCAGGAGGGACTTGCCCATCATGAATGGCTTGGAACCAAGAACAGTGGCCATGTGCCAGACTGACATTATTGTCCAAAAGCCATCTTCGAATTTACTCGCTGGTTGTTAGTTCCTCGTCAGCTGGGTAGTCTTGCTCTTTCTTGCAGGGCTGATCCCAGCCACATTGGCAATCCACGTCAAACCCAACACTAAACCCACCTTCAGGAAAGGCTTGATCCTCATCATGACGAACTCCTTTCCCGGTGGCAAATGGGGTCAGTACACCACAGCTACTGGGGCAAACAGTCATAACTAAAAACTATGTGGATATAGGTGGTAGCATGTGGGGTGACAGGCTGACAAGCAATGTTGAGGTTGCTGCATTCTGATACCACAACATTGCCATAGGATTTGCAACAACTCAGGCCTGTATACTGAGATCACATCCAAGTTTGCTTGTTGAGCTTAGCTTTGACTGGCAATGTCTTTGCATAGGGTGCAACAACATGAACAACAAAAGAGGAACCAATCAAAAGTTTGACGTTTCATGACATCTGGCCTGACCATGCGATCAAGTGATGATTGGATAATAAACATTGGTCCCCCCCGACGCGAAGGCCAACAAGGTCAACGGTTCCATTTTACCACACAATCACAATGTAATTTGCCGTTGTTTGGTGTGAAGGAACAGTTTGCACCATAAACTTGAGAATGCAAAGGAATTACCAGCCAAACTCATCTTGATTGTCAAAGTTTTCCAATACTGTCATTACTCTGTCATTACTCTGTCATTTTTTCCAAACACCAACAGAATGACAACTCGAAACACTGCCAAAGTTGGCCAACGTCTTTAAAGTCTTGCTATTTTTTTTTGGTAAGGTAGATCCAGGTAAATCCCTTCATATGATCCTAGTTCAAATACAAGTATGTATAATATATATATATATATACAATATATATATATGTGTATATGTTGGTTTATATAAACATGAGGGGGTATAGCCGCCCCTAAGAAGCCAAAGTGAATCATGTTCCTTCATCATCTTCCCTACATTTTCTGGCGTTTCCACTGAATCCACATCCATCGGCCCATCCAGGATTGGCCCTCCGCACCGTGACCACCAGTGCAATCACCTCCGATCCAGCGTGGTCCGCCTGCAGTGCCACGGAGTTTGCTATGGATGGTATGGGGGTTGCTGTGGATCTTACATGATCTTACGCTTCTTACGGTCATGCTTTATCTTTATATTTTTCTTATTTCTGGGGGTTAATCATTCACTCATCTGAAATAAGGCTATATATCTATATATGTTGCTATATTGGGAGGATTTCCCTTACTAACCAGGACTCCAGTGAGGTCACAATGAGGTCACTATAATTTAGCCAGAACGCCCGGTCATCTCCTCTACCAGCACCCATTGGATCATAGCATCATCTTGTCGTTGCAACCGATTCCGTTCTCAAGTCAATTGCACAAATGTAGCATGATGTAGCATGATGTAGCATTGTGGAGCATGATATAGCATGATGTAGCATGATGTAGCATGATTTAGCATGATGTAGCAGCATGATGTAGCAGCATGATGTAGCAGCATGATGTAGCAGCATGATGTAGCAGCATGATGTAGCAGCATGATGTAGCAGCATGATGCAGCAGCATGATGTAGCAGCATGATGTAGCAGCATGATGTAGCAGCATGATGTAGCAGCATGATGTAGCAGCATGATGTAGCAGCATGATGTAGCAGCATGATCTAGCAGCATGATGTAGCAGCATGATGTAGCAGCATGATGTAGCAGCATGATGCAGCAGCATGATAGCATGATGTAGCAGCATGATATGATAGCAGCATGATGTAGCAGCATGATGTAGCAGCATGATGTAGCAGCATGATGTAGCAGCATGATGTAGCAGCATGATGTAGCAGCATGATGCAGCAGCATGATGCATGATGTAGCAGCATGATGTAGCAGCATGATGTAGCAGCATGATGTAGCAGCATGATGTAGCAGCATGATGTAGCAGCATGATGCAGCAGCATGATGCAGCAGCATGATGTAGCAGCATGTGCAGCAGCATGATGCAGCAGCATGATGTAGCAGCATGATGTAGCAGCATGATGTAGCAGCATGATGTAGCAGCATGATGTAGCAGCATGATGTAGCAGCATGATGTAGCAGCATGATGTAGCAGCATGATGTAGCAGCATGATGTAGCAGCATGATGTAGCAGCATGATGTAGCAGCATGATAGCAGCATGATGTAGCAGCATGATGTAGCAGCATGATGTAGCAGCATGATGTAACAGCATGATGTAGTAGCATGATGTAGTAGCATGATGTAGTAGCATGATGTAGCATGATGTACTATGATGTAGCATGTACAAATGTGTTGTTCAGATACTTCTTCAGTTGAAAACGGATCAGAGCCCTCTAAGAACTAAATACAAGCTTCTCAACTCGGAGGTGTTCTCACCCGTCTCTGCATCACCGCAGTGTGTCAAAATGACAGCCACAAGTTGCGCACGTCATCACGGATCAGAGTAATCAGCATTCTATTGACCATTGGGCCAAATCGTGCAACCAACCCTGAGATATGGGCAGTGAAACAAACACAACATGGTAAGTCGTCAGAGACGAGTTTTTCCAGATCTTGCTCCCGCACCGCCATGGCGCCTTGCAAGGATAGGTTCCACAAGGCTCCACGAGTGGTTGCAGGAGCAAGTCCCGACCGCTCCTCACAGATGGAAGGTGTGCCCTTTGCTGAAGTTTCCTGGGAGATATTGAATGATGAAGTATTTTGATGTATTTTGGTTGGTCTCAACTTGGATGATACCTGACCATTACCATGTTTTATAAGTCTGGTCACAATTTCGGGGCACAAAAATCGATTGAGACTCGTCATGGGCTACGATTAAATCCGCCATTGGCCGATGATGAGATTTGATGGTAGACTTGACCAAGGCAGCTCTCAGAGTTTTGTCAAAAGTCTAATCTTCCAGCCTTGAGCTTGAACTTGTGATAAATGTCTTGGAAATATGGAAGTCTGAGTAAACCACATAGAACCTCCCTCAAAGCGGACTACAATTAGCACAGCAACCTGCTGTCAGTTTCAAACACCACAAAGTGCGGGTCAAAAGCATCCAGGGCCAACCCAACAGGAGCAGTGCGGGTCTCAACAGGACCCGTTTTCTTGGAGCCTTTTTGAATCCCAAATATGACCCCTCCAAATGACTTGCTTCATGTGATGTTGATAAACCTATCAAGCTGAACAGTGATAACATATTGTCATTTTTATCTCATGGCCAGTCTCAGACACCCTGCAAAACAATATTAATTTTAGCTACTTAGTAATTTTTAGTAAATCCGAGTAAATAGTGTATCTCTATTCATTCCTGCCACCCCGCCACCTGTCTCAGCCGAGACACCACAGGGGCAAATCATATAGCAATTCAAGGCTGATGGCCATATAGAGCATCGCAGTCAAGATCTGCCCCCATGTTGGATGGGTTCGGTGGTTGAGCCCCCCAAAAACATGCAGAAATCAGAGGGGATGATGAGCATCACAGTCGCAACAATAACAAGAATTGACTATTTTGGGGATAAAATACTTCGAACTATCACAATTGATATGGCACATGACCATTCATTTACACCATCAAAGTAGATTTGGTACAAAGGGAAGTCTACCCCATTACAGTAAATAGGTGGCTGAATAATCATGACTCGCCAACCCGAAATAAACACATTCTGAGTCAATTCAATTCCCGTTACTGACCAAACGTCAAATACATCCCGGCGGAAGGGAAACCGCGCGAGCGTTTTGATTGGTTGCTTCCAGGAGAGTCACAATCACCTGTAATTTACAATATAAAATGCTCCTCCGATCAGTTTGGATAACTGAATTTGGGTTTAAAAAAGTGGATGCAAAATCTATTGATTTTTAACAAATCCAGGTAAACATCATGTGCATCAGACGTGGATGCGCAGATTTTTTTCACACTCTTCGTCGGCTCAGCGATCCATCAGTGTGGAAGCTGTCAACCTATGCATCACTACCGCACCCAAACCCATACGCAGCGCAGCAACATGTAACGTAGGAAACTATCTCAGAGATACCAGCAGCGTAGCAACATGTACCTTAGTAAACGATCTCGGAGATACCAACCGCGTAGCAACCTGTAACGTAGTAAACGATCACAGAGATCTCAGCAGCGTAGCAACATGTCACGTAGTAAAAGATCCCAGAGATCTCAGCAGCGTAGCAACATGTAACGTAGGAAACTATCTCAGAGATACCAGCAGCGTAGCAACATGTAACGTAGTAAAAGATCCCAGAGATCTTAGCAACATCGCAATATATCCTGTACGAAGTACAAGGAACGTTAACATGCCCCCCACCCCACCCCACCCCAACCCCAACCCACACTAACATGGCAATATATCCTGTACGAAGTACGAGGAACGTTAACATGCCCCCCCACCCCAACCCAACACTAGAGATCTCAGCAGCGTAGCAACACGTAACGTAGTAAAAGATCCCAGAGATCTTAGCAACATGGCAATATATCATGTACATTCATGTACGAAGCACAAGGAACGTTAACATGCCCCCCCACCCCACGCCACCCCAACCCCAAGACAAAGAGCAATACTCAAAAAAGAAGCAAAACGCACGTACGGTTTTCCTGCCGTAGGCAAATACATGGCATGGTCAATTGTTTTGATTCAACACCATGATTCTCAGTGACTCCATGGCGTTCCTCCCAAAATGTCGCACGTGAATCAGTTTTTCATCAAGCACGTGTGTTGTGAACCCCACCGGAATCTGCAAAACCTAGCTGTCTCAAAACATTGGAACCTTATCCATCTTTATCCAAAGATTTACATTTCTTTCATGTTTTTGTTCGATTGTTTTTCCAAGTTGACATCATCATTTTCCACCTTAAAATCATGGAAAATCCATACACCTGGCATTTCCGTGGCATCATGCACCGAGTGCACCTGTCCCAGGAAGAAGCGGTAGATGTTCAGCAGAGCGCGCCAGGACCGGGGCCAGGCCTGGACCAAAGGGCTGGGTCTAGGTATATGTGCACTGCATAGATAATAGTCATATATACATTATTATAAGTATTTTATGTAAATATTATAGATAAATAGTATATATATATATATCATTATAAATCTATATCAGATGTAGATTATGTCTAGATTCTCTAGATTATCTATGGTATTTAATAATTGTGTATGTATGTGGATGTTATGTATTGCAAATCCACTTGGATAATCTAACCGGCCATGCTGGAATTTCAAATCAATAGGAAAGAAATCGTCGAGGCCGGGTTGGAGGCTGTTTATCGAATCTGTCCCCCGCCCAAAAAACGCTTGAACACTAAACCACAAAAATGACATTACAGTTCCAACTATTGCTGATATACCTGGGTTGAAAGACAATTGTTGTTGATAACATACCGGTCTTGGTTGGTGACATTTGGTAAACCTCTCTTTCTTGTTGACATATGGTAGTTACCTGGTAGTTACACCCGGATGTTGCTGGTACGCCCTCGTGATATGTATACATTAGGGCGTGCGTCGGCCTCTTTAACTGTGAGGACAGAGATAGGCCTTGGGACTATTTATAAATTTGTTGGGGCTATTTATAAAAAAGAAATCTCTATCCTCACAGAAAAGAGGCAGATCCAGGAAGGGGGTTGCCACACCTGCGGGACTGTGCAAAGAGCAGCGGAACAGCCCGCACATGGAACGATGTTTTTTCCAAGCTCTCTGCCGTGGAGTATTTGCACCCTTATTTCCCACAAACAGCTCTTGCTGATGGGGCAGCCAAAAGTATAAACTACTTCAGTGGCAATCCCGGACTGAAGAGTTTTGCACTAGTATTTAAACCACAGTTGCAAACTGATCTCACTGCTTGGTTTTGAGTTCTCACACAAATAGTAAATATATTTTTATATATGTTATGAATATGTGTATGTTTGAATATGTCATCTCATATTGTATAATTTTGATCATTAGTAAGATAACTGTGTTTTGTGATACAAACAAATATAAGATATATCACTCAAAGATCAAAGAAAAAATCATTGCATTTTCTTTGAACAAATCCATTGTTTAAAAACGGCTTCAAGCGGTTTCTACCCAGCATCAATTCTAGCTGTTTTGAAATAGTTCCAAGCGGTTTGGAGCGGTTTCAGGCTATTTACAAAAGCTTGTTTATAAATAGCGCGGGACGGTTCGGAGCGGTTCAAAACTATTTATACTGTCAAGACTATTCAGGACTAATTGGGACTAATTGGGACTAATTAGGTTTTGGTGGTATGAGTAGCTTGGAACGGCTTGGAGCGGTTCAAAGCTATTTGTAAATGGTTTTTACAAATAGCCCGGAACGGTTCGGAGCGGTTTGGGGCTATTTTTAACACGACCTAATATGCAGAAGGTATAAACGGCTCGGAACGGTTCCAAGCGGTTTCTAGTAAGAGCATATCATACGACATGCTTAACCTCTTTTCCGAACTATGATTTTCTTCATCTTCTTTTCAACTTGCAAACAAGAAAACAAGAAGTAGATCATGAAACCAAGATGTAGAAACAAACAGCAACCATATTATTTCAACTTACAGACAAAGCATCCGGCAAAAAGAAAAAGGTAGCAGTACCAGACAGACAGGCAGACAGACCGACAGACCTTCAGACCGATAGACTGATAGACAGACAGATCCGAATCCAAAAGCCCAACCTGAGATCTGCATCAAAGGAGGTGCTTTCATCAGTCCATAATGGATATCTAATACGTTGCGTTCTCGCTTGTTCAACACACTTTTGCCTTCACCCGGAAGACGTGCAGTGTACCCCTGCCCACGCTGTATGTTTTGAAAAAAACGCAAATTTCCTCCTTTGACTTTGCGGACACGCGGCCATCCTGCAGGACATGCCGGATTGGCCGGGTCCAGTGAGGGAATGGTCCGTTTCCAAAAAAAGAAACCGGACCCGTTCAGGCTCTCTTTTCGGCCAAAACGCCAAAAAGTGCGAATTAAAGAGGAAAAAATCTTTGGGACTATTTATAAATCCGAAAAAGAATCCTCCGGACTATTTGTAAATCCGAAAAAAAACCTTGCCGAGCTATTTATACATTTCCTGGGCGCCAGTGACTTCGGGTAGGCCTAGGAAATCTTCCGCGCAACCCGAAACCCGGTTGGATTTGGTGGATTTGTTGGGATGGCTGCCTGCTGGCGGTGACCAAAATATGTCTCAGGAAGGCTCTGCGAAACCGGCCCGAAAACGCTCGTGTGTAATGAAACGCATATGCCTCAGGTACACAAAAAGGCTAGTCTTAGAGTGATAGTTAAGTTCCATCATCTAAAGACAGTGGGTTGTGGGCTGGTCCCAGTCACCGTTCTACCACTTCAAAATGCTGAGGCCCTGTATGTGGGATTGGGACTACACCAAATACCGTTTGAAATTTTGCGGCCGCAGCGCTCATTGAAAACCGTAGGGCCTATGAAAGAAACATATTTCATAGCGCGTAGTGTAGACATGGAAGCACACACCAATGCAGCGATAGCGCAAGCCGCAACGTTTTGCAACTTGAGCCAAATAAGTGAAATCAACAACAGGATGGGAGTAAATCACACATACATGTACAAGCTCTATATAAATCCGAAAATTCCTCTTTATTTCATTTTATTCTACAATTCATTGTAGAGCATGTTGAGCATGGCCGCTTGCGATGTGTGACTGCTGTGTGGAAGAGGTTGGAAGTGCAGCATGGTATGGTGGAAGCGCGCATCGAGAAAATGTAGAAAAGCGCAAAGTGCATTTCCTGCTCTTGCTTCAAATGAAACCTGAATGTGTGATATGGCTGGGATTCACCATGTGGTTGGTGAGAAGCTGTGGTTCGCAACGCGGATTGCACAGATTGATTGGGTAATGGTTGCCTTCATGTCTTGAAAAAAGTCACATGTTCGGGCTCTCAAGCTGTTTCACCGCCTTGAAACCTGCAATGTGTTTTCGCGTTCTGCACGATGCCGTGTGCAACAATGGACACGTTAGGGCGCTATGTCTCATTTAGCGTGTGCGGCATGTCAACACGATATGTTTAAAATGCTCAAACAAAATTGGATGTTGTCAATCTTGTCCGTGCAGTGCTATGTTTTGTGATGCGCGCAACGCTTTCATCTTAACCCTAAAGAGCTGCTCAGAAATTGCAATTCTGTCAAATATATTCGGGATCGACTGAAAATTACCTAACCCAAAAAGTGTAGAATGATAGTTTGATATTTGCACAAACCCAGGTGTTCCAGAAGCCCTTGTCCTTGGAAAAGGGGCAGTGAAGCAGATTGGCCCTAGTTGACATGGTTCATATCATATATTTCACATCATATTAGTTAATCTAGTCTTAAATGATTTATAAATAGTCTTGAATGATTTATTAATAGTCCTGGAGAGCTAGGTATGCTTGACAGAGGGTCCCAAACAAAGAGGCCCATGCACCCACTAATGTATACACATGTATGCATATATTGGATCAACGCCACAAATTGGATTTGATGGTCGTCAAATCAGTTAAAGTTTCATATTTCAGGGTGATCAAATCCACTATTTGTATGACCCTCTCCACATCCTCGCTAAGAAGGTCTTTGGACTAGTTTGGACCCAGAAGTCCCAAATTAGCCAATCTCAGAAGGTACGATCAAATCCACCATTTGGGTGTGTCCGAAAATGGTCAATGTACGGCCAGTTGTAACAATTTGCATCGGGAAAATATGGGAACTCATGAATGAACGTACCACTAGGGCCTAGGGGTTGCAGTTGGGGGTTCTTACTGGGTATAACCGTGGTAATAACTCGCATCAGGTGGAATGTGATCCCCATAACTGTCGTGATACGGGTTTGTCTGAAAATATTATATCCCCAAATTTGATGTTTTTTCATCATGTTCCCTACTAAAATTGTCATTTAAGGGTACATCACCTTTTCAGACACACCCATATATATATATATATATGTAGTACTTATTAAGAGAACCACTATGGTGATACATATACGTATTCATATAACAACTATCGAACATACTACTTACTATGGTGAATATGTATATATACATAACCACAGTACAGTACGTATTCACTTATAATATGTAGTTGTGATGTATATATAATTATATATATATAACTTAATATACATCACCACCTATATAGTTGTGACATATGTTCCAACAACCCCCATTTTTGGTGCCGCCGGTGCCTCCAAACGTGTCAAGAACTCCACCGTGGGGGGCAGCACCAGCCCGGCGCCCGTCACCACCTCAAAGGTGCGGAAGCGCCACATCCTCCCCCCAAAAAAACACAATTTTTTATGCAAAATTGAATCCAGTAAAATGTGTATATCTATGTATGTTATATGGTCACCGAGTGATTTGGAAACTATGATTTGGAAACTATAACAGCGGATTTGGAAACTGGGAACAGCTGATTTGGAAACTATGATTTGGAAACTATAACAGCGGATTTGGGAACTGAGAACAGCGGATTTGGAAACTATGATTTGGAAACTAAGACACGTGATTTGGAAACTATAACAGCGGATTTGGAAACTATGATTTGGAAACTATGAGGTGTGATTTGGAAACTGGGAACATCAGACTTGGAACCGTGATTTGGAAACTATGAGGTGTGATTTGCAAACTGGGGACAGCGGATCCCGGAACTGCCAAATCTTTTCAACCTTTTACCGCCATTGCTGCAGAAGCTTGGAACACAAAAAGGAATCGTGATAAGAAGTCTTGGAGAGGGGAGACTGTGAAGTTGAGAATACTCTTGCATGTAAGGTTTGGGGGGGGAAGTTTTAAAAATGACTTGGAATCGTGACAAGAAGTCTTGGAGAGGGGAGACTGTGAAGTTGAGAATACTCTTGCATGTAAGGTTTGGGGGGGGAAGTTTAAAAAATGACTTGGAATCGTGACAAGAAGTCTTGGAGAGTGGAGACTGTGAAGTTGAGAATACTTTTGCATGTAAGGTTTTAGGGGGGGAAGTTTTAAAAATGACTTCGTATCGTGACAAGAAGTCTTGGGGAGGGGAGACTGTGAAGTTGAGATTACTCTTGCATGTAAAGGTTTAGGGGGGGAAGTTTAAAAAATAACTTGGAATCGTGACAAGAAGTCTTGGAGAGGGGAGACTGTGAAGTTGAGAATACTCTTGCATGTAAGGTTTAGGGGGGGGAAGTTTTAAAAAATGACTTGGAATCGTGACAAGAAGTCTTGGGGAGGGATGACTGTGAAGCTGAGAATACTCTTGCATGTAAGGTTTAGGGGGGGGAAGTTTAAAAAATGACTTGGAATCGTGACAAGAAGTCTTGGAGAGGGGAGACTGTGAAGCTGAGAATACTCTTGCATGTAAGGTTTAGGGGGGGGAGTTTTAAAAATGACTTGGAATCGTGACAAGAAGTCTTGGAGAGGGGAGACTGTGAAGTTGAGAATACTCTTGCATGTAAAGGTTTAGGGGGGGAAGTTTAAAAAATGACTTGGAATCGTGATAAGAAGTCTTGGAGAGGGGAGACTGTGAAGTTGAGAATACTCTTGCATGTAAGGTTTGGGGGGGGAAGTTTTAAAAATGACTTGGAATCGTGACAAGAAGTCTTGGAGAGGGGAGACTGTGAAGTTGAGAATACTTTTGCATGTAAGGTTTTAGGGGGGGAAGTTTAAAAAATGACTTCGTATCGTGACAAGAAGTCTTGGGGAGGGGTGACTGTGAAGTTGAGATTACTCTTGCATGTAAAGGTTTAGGGGGGGGAAGTTTAAAAAATGACTTGGAATCGTGACAAGAAGTCTTGGAGAGGGGAGACTGTGAAGTTGAGAATACTCTTGCATGTAAAGGTTTAGGGGGGGGGAAGTTTAAAAAATGACTTGGAATCGTGACAAGAAGTCTTGGGGAGGGATGACTGTGAAGCTGAGAATACTCTTGCATGTAAGGTTTAGGGGGGGGAAGTTTTAAAAAGTACTTGGAATCGTGACAAGAAGTCTTGGAGAGGGGAGACTGTGAAGTTGAGAATACTCTTGCATGTAGGGGGGGGAATAGTTTCCTAATCGTAGTTTCCTAATCGCGCGGAATAGTTTCCTAATCGTAGTTTCCTAATCGCGCGGAATAGTTTCCTAATCGTAGTTTCCTAATCGCACGCAATAGGTTCCTAATCGTAGTTTCCTAATCGCACGCAATAGGTTCCTAATCGTAGTTTCCTGATCGCGCGCAATAGTTTCCTAATCGTAGTTTCCCAATCGCGCGGAATAGTTTCCTAATCGTAGTTTCCCAATCGCGCGGAATAGTTTCCTAATCGTAGTTTCCTAATCGCGCGGAATAGTTTCCTAATCGTAGTTTCCTAATCGCACGCAATGGTTTCCTAATCGTAGTTTCTTAATCGCGCGGAATAGTTTCCTAATCGTAGTTTCCCAATCGCGCGGAATAGTTTCCTAATCGTAGTTTCCCAATCGCGCGGAATAGTTTCCTAAGCGTAGTTTCCTAATCGCGCGGAATAGTTTCCTAATCGTAGTTTCCTCATCGCACGCAATAGTTTCCTCATCGTAGTTTCTTAATCGCGCGCAGTAGTTTCTAAATCGCGCGGAATAGTTTCCTAATCGTAGTTTCGTAATCGTAGTTTCTAAATCGCGTATAGTTTCCTAATCGTGCAATGTCCTATGTGATATATATAATATACATACTCTATATATATATATATGTATATAGTTATATAAGTATGCATATATATATATATATAGATACATATTTTTATATACGAAGAATCCTAGAATTTACAGTAAATAATACGAACTTCTTTCTTTTAACAAAGAATTGCCCACATCTTTGAACATTTACACATTGTTTGATGAATTCATCCAGAGAATGATGGTTGAACCATCAATTTTTGGTGGAACAGTGTTGCATTCAGACTGTATCATCCTTGTCTATTATTGGTTGATTGATAGTGAAAACTATCCTCCACAATATGAAGTCAACTTGAGTGCCCCCAGACACACTCTTGCTGACTTATATATTGTCTGATGCTGCACCAGCACACTGTTTTCCTCTACTTGGATGTGCAAACGAGTGAGTAAAAGGGACGACCGGGATGCATCAACTAACCTTACATTGCACTAGTTCAATATATCTATTATAAAGCCATTAGGGCCACTAGTTCTTAAAATTGTTCAATTCATCGAACATTTCGATGAATTGATTGATAAACCCCAGGAACCAAAATGAACCATACTTGTACTTGTAATTACCATAAAACCACAGATTACCTAAATTAACCTGTGCAATTTTAACCTAAAAACAAATGCTGATTTTCCACAGCTACACTAAATAATCACGGGGTTTGTCTAAATTTATTGATGCTTGATAAACCTCATTGACCAATATGAACCATAGTTGTAACTACCATAATCCATACAACAACTATGACTATGACTAGGTATCAATGATTAATCATAGTCCCTGGTTAAATCAACCAACTACCATAATTTTACTGTATAATAACTGATTAATATCAGATTGAGTATGTTTTCATGATTGTTTCAAACAACTAATAGTGATTGTTTTGATATTGACCAATATACCAACATTATTAACTATAGTTATAACATTTATAACATTACCAAACTGGTGGTTTTATAACATTAACAACTGGTGGTTTTAATGTTGACCAATATTCATTATAAAACCGCCAGTGATTTTATAACACTCCTCCTGCGGAGATCCGATCATGCAGATCACCAAGGTGCCAAGGGCGCCAAGGTAAAGCCCAGCCACTCGCCCACGCCTGATTTCAGGGATGAAATGGAGATGTGTGTCATATAACATGTGTATAATATATGTAATATATGCACCGTGCACATGTATATGGTCACCGACAGAATTATGGAAAAAAATAAAACGTTCAACTTAGACAGGCGGCACCTGCGTCCGATTTTTCCATAATTGGATTTTTCCCCATAAGGGTTCAAAATATCCCGGAAGTGATCCGAACCTTTTTTTTTTCCATAATTCTTGGAGGTGGCCATTATTTCCATAATTGATTTTTCCTGTAAAATCAGGGGGCTAGGGCAGATTGACCGGTTTTTCCATAATTATTTTTTTCCATAATTATTTTTTCCATAATTAATGTTTGGGGCTCCACCTGTTGGACATGTCATGGATCCACAATTCAAACCCCTTTTTTTGGGGGGTTATGGAAATATGTATGCAAATGCAAGTATGTAGTATCAACCCAATTGGTGGCTTGGCAAAAGGATACATCCCGCATATGTATGTACGTACAACAATGAGTTTTGGTGGTGCAATTGTATATCAATGGAAGACTTAGGGGCATATACCAGATCTTTAGACACATATTTTCTATAATTCAATATTCCCCCTTAAAATGCATTCAAATTGCGAACATCA